TATTCGAAGTCGGTAATTCACTAATTTGTCTTCTCAAATTAGATTTCGGTAAGTCGAATGATATTTCGATTTCAAGCATATTAACGGCATGTTCTTGATGAATATAATATGCACATTATCGGTGTAATATCTCCTACAATTTCATCTTTATCTTATCCCGATCTCCACCATTTCCCACCAACTGAGAGAATTTGACTTGGACGAATAAAACTAGAACTTCATATTCCACGGAGGTCTATCTTTTGCCTTGATCAAGTGTCGAAATTGTACTCTTGATAACATGTAGTTGCATTCATCCCCAGGAAGACAATCTTTCTTTTGAAACAATTATCTAAATTGATCACTTGATGACAACGACAGATGCAAATCATCTCCAAACATATGATGTGACCAAGTGGGACGATTAAAAATTGATAAGGAACTCCAAAAAGCAAAAACTTATGCAACTCATTCAAAAAATCAATTGATTGTGCATAATGAGAAGTATAAGGAACTAGCTCTATACACTGGCTTGCAGAAAAGAATGATTGCAATATCGAAAACTCAAGTGGGCCCCTATTAGGAAACAAGCCCCCCACATTGAAAAAGTAAATTTCATTGAAGTGTGATGGCCAATCAAATAGAAAATCTTTATATGAATGTTCCAAAACTCTTTTCTTAACATATTTAGGAAATCAAGACGATGAGACGCATAACAGAGAATAATAATCATTAGGGTCTCCTAACCTATGTTGAACATCGAAAGTAAGTTCAAAATTTCCATGATTAAAAATGATTTACCTATTTGTTGTAGCACGAAATTTAGGAACATTGTCAACAAAATGATGAGCTAACATAGCAAGTCGATAATTGGTAGGCAATAATCAAATATCAATTGGAAAAGTGTGAAAGTGTATAATTGCCTTAGAAAAAAATGTTTCGACTTGTGAAGAATCATTCATTTGAAGTAATGTCACAACAAACTCAACTTTAAATGTATACTAAGAGTAAGTAAACAGTTTGGCTGGGTTGACAATACTAACGATAACTCATCACCTATATTATGTCCACGATCCGTGTGAGAGGGTATGCGAGACCAATCTCAAAACTCTCGTATCAGA